AAAAAAACTAAAAAATTGCAATTTCTGCAATTTATTGGATTGGCTTGATACTTTGGTAAATTGTTGTCCTATATGAAAGTACTATTTCTACTAAAAGCAACTACTAAACTGGCAAATAATATTAACTTACAAGAAAATAAAAGCAATTTTATTTTAAAATTTCTATTTTTTTTTATCTCTACACAGAAAATTAAAAGGCATTAAAATAAGCTGCAACGCTTATTATTTTAATCCAATTTTACTTATTTTAATACCAAAATGGATTAAAATAAGCAAAATTGGATTAAAATAATAAGCGTTGCAGCTTATTTTAATACCTTATAATTTTCTGTGTACACCTTCACCCCAAAAAAACATGCAAGACAAAACAAAAAACATTTAAAAACAAAATAATATCACAGAAAAAAAACTTTATCTGAAACAGAGAAAAGTTTCACTAGAATAGTGAAAGATTTAACTTGAAACAACTAAAACTTTTGCTATTCTAGTGAAACTTTTTCGCTGTTCCAGGTAAAATTTTTTCCATGTATAAGAAACCTGTTTAAAAAAACCCAATTCGCCTCAATGATGAAAAATCCTTGTCTGAAAAACATTTCCTGCAAACAGAGAAAAAAAAGCGAGAAGAAACAAATTTTGACAAAAAAAAACAGAGAAGGAAAAATACAACTTACCTTGCAAAAGGGGAAGAATTTTCTGTAAATTAAAGGGAAAAAAAAAAAAATTAAAGAGGAGAGAAAAATGATAGGAAAAAAAGGAAATCAGGAGAATTTTGAAATAAAAAGGGGGAGGGTTTTTCATTAAATTTAAATTTATTCATTTTTGAAGTATACAAATCTACTTCGCTTTTTTGCTCTTAATCTTTCTCATGTAGAATTCGAGTTCTTTTCCTTCCAAAATATAACCGTCAGCTCTTCCGCATTGTCCGGGTCGACTGGCAACGCAAGCTGATTAAAAAAAAAGGAAAAAATTTTTATTTACAATTTTTATATTTAAATAACAAAAAATCTGTCTTCAGTCTTAAATAAAAAAAAAATCGTTCTTTCATTTTTATCTACTCTGTTAATTGTATTTTATTTACAGAATAAATTTTCTTTTTTAAATATCTAAAAAAATTTTAAATAATTTTTTTTTCTTACCGAGAACTCTTCCCGTTGCAAATTGATCCTCGAGAGCTTGTTCAACTTTAGCAAACTTTTGCCTTGACTTGTATTTAGCTTCGCATTTCTTCGACCTTTTCTTATTCAAAGTTTCCTCCTCAGCTTCCGTCTAAGGGACAAGAAATGTTTTTTTTTTTTTTTTTTCTACATATATACTAATAAATTAATTCTTTGTTCGGATATTTTCAATTTCGGTCAAAAAACAAAGAATTTCGCAAGTTTAAAAATTTTTTTTAGTAAATTAAAATTCCACGATTAGAATTTTTTTTTTTGCAGGTAAAGAGAAAAGTACTAAATTATAGAAAAAAAGAATACCTTTCTTTATTGTAATTAAAATAAAATAGAAAAATTTGAAAAAGATTCTTACCAATTTTGCGCCACGTTTGCGTCCAAGAGGAAGGGCATAATGTGCCTCGTACCATTGTCTAAATGGAGTTGCGTCAATGGTGACAATTGCATTTTTAACGAGAGTTTTGGTTCTCACCAATTCGTTATTTGAGGCATTGTAAACAACATCGATGATACGTGTTTTACGTGCACGACCCTCTGAACCCCAGGCAAAATTTCCTGTGTCGAGACGAAGTGCTCTGTATTTCTTGTTGCCACCGCGTGTACGAACCTTTTTTTTTCCAAAATTGGCGAGAAAAAAAAACAGAAAAGAAAAAAATGATTAAAAATTATATCTTTTTCTCTTTTACAAAAAAAAAAAAAAAAATAGGAAATTTTTGTTTTTCTTCAGAACGCTGTGGGAAAAATATCAACATCTCTCAATTCTGAGTAGGTAAGGGTAATCATCATTTAAAACAAAAATTACAATTTTTTTATACAAATTTTTTTTCCGTATAATATTTAAATAATCAAAAATTTTTTTTATTTCCTTCTTTCTTCACTGTAAAGAAAGGAAACTAAATTTAAAAATAACTTCTTGGTGGGTTTTTTAACCCTCGGAGCACACACCTCTTTTTTCGAACAAGTAGCACAGTCTGGGTCGCTGTGACCCTGTTTACTTTACAAAACTCCCCCATTTTTGAACTATTGGACTGATCAACACAAAAAAAAATATTTTTTTATTCATTGAACCTTGTAAAATAAGAATATGCAGTTTAGAAATATTATTAAATTATTTGCATATTGAAAAAAAATTCGTGAAGTTAACTAATTAAAAAGAAAAAATTGAATTTAAAAAAAAAAATGTAACTTTTGTAATTTTTAATATTTTAAGCTAAAAATTGGGATTTATATTCTCGAAGTGTGTTAGAATAAGGGAAAAAATACCACCTTATTTTATTTTTTAAAAAAGGTATTTATTTTGTAGTTTAACGAGGGTAACTTTTAAGACGATAAAAATGTGATTTTCGACACAACTTTTTAAAACTATACTTTTTTAATAACATATTTACTAGTATTTTATTATTTTCTTTGGATTATCATGTTACTTATTATTCCTTATTAGTTAGTTACCACTATATGGCCTTAGGTTCGTGTTGTATTGCCGACTTTTCAAATTACACTTCATTGAAATTAATGACAGAGTCTGTGTGACCCAGTATGTGCTCCGAGGGTTAAGAATGTTTTTCCAAGTTTTTTATTCTTACAATTAGAATATAATATTTTTAAAATAATAAAGAATTTTTTAAATTTTAGAACCAATCTTAAATTTAGAATTTCGTTTTTTTTTGTGTTCTTTTTTCGTGACTCGGAGTGAATAAATATTTAGTTGAAACAAAGCTGAAGTATACGCAACGTTTATGATAAACGATTTTTAAAGAAATAATTTTTTAAAATGAAAAATTCTTTAATATTTTGACTAAAAAATATTTCTTGTAGTTTTCATTAATCAACAAATTAGAAAAAATATTTTTTTAGACAAAAAATTATAGAATTTTTCATTTTAAAAAAATTATTTTTTTAAAAAATCGTTTATCATAAACGTTTACATACTTCAGCTTCGTTAGTTTAAACAACAAAATTTTTTATTTATTTCAACCAATAATTTCTGGTACTTGAAACAAATAATTATTTAATAGAAATAAATTTGTATTTGTATCAAATAAATATTTGTTTGTATCAAATAAATATTTATTTGCATCAAATAAATATTTATTTGATAATAGTCAAGAAACCAATTATTTGAATCAAATAAATTTTTTTCCACACTATTAAAATGTGAAAAAAAAATTGCAGTTTTTCAATTAAGACGGAAAAAAATGTACAAAAATTATATTTAAAATTTTTTTTTTTGAATTTATAAAAAAGAGAAATAAACATTTTTATCTTACGGTGTGAATACGTTGAGGACCAAGTTTTGTATTGGCAGCAGGACGTCCCAATTCGAACTTCCTCTTCTTTCTGAGTGGCTTTCTTTTGCCACCGGTTGCACGCCTTTTATGCCAGTGATCACGGGAAATACCTTAAAAAAAATGTTTCGATTTTTTTCTAATTAGTAAAATATTTGTACTACGTTTTTTTTTTTTTTTGAAAAATAATTTTTTTTTTGCTTTTTATTTTGTAGCAAAAAAAAAAAACTTCAGTACGCTGTGGGAAAAATTTCAACACCTCTCGTTCTGAGTAGGTAAGGGTACTCATCATATTTGGTTCAAAAAAAAAATTAAATTAAATTAAAAAAAGAAAATTAAAAATTTTTTAATAATAAAATTAATAAAACAAAAAAATTTTTCTTACAAAAATTTCAATACGCAAACACAAATTTTATTATAATGAAAAACTTTCTCTTTTTTTGAAAAAAATATTACGAAAAAAAATTCCAAGTAATCTAAATTATTTCCTTTCTATCACTAAATCACAATAAAAATTTATTCAATACGCAAATATATTTTTTTAAATTAAGGAAACAGTAAAATTTAAAGAAAAATGTTTCACTGAATTAATTTAAATATAAATAAATGTAATTAAAAAAAATTTTTAAAAACAAATTGACTTCTCAATTAAAAACAGAAGAAACCGGAAATTATATTTTTTCCATAAACAGAATAACCGAATTTTCAAATTCTGAGAAGAAATTTTTGTAAAATTTCCAAGAGCGAAAAAAAATTACGATTTCCTTTACACGAACATAACCTCACTTTTCGCGTCATCAAAGCAACAATTGAAAAAACAATACATTTTCATTATTTCAAAATAAACGGAAAAACAATTATCGATTACAATTTATTAGAAAATAAAAAGAAAAACATACAATTTTTATATTAGTTATTTTAAAAAAAACCTGAAATATTGACAATAATGTCAAATGTACGAGACTCGGCGTTGATTCATTTTCTTTCAACATTATAATTTTTCACAACAAAAAAACAACACAAATAATACACAACACTTGTTTATAATAAACAATAGATTCGTTTGCGAATTAAATTTTTTCAATATTAACAATAAATAAATAGGATGTTGATTGATTTTATAAACATGTGGAAAAAATAACGACACTCACCCATTGTGCTTGACGTGAAAAGAAAAAAGAACACGAACAAACTGAATTGATATAGATATGAGACAAGCGGAATAATTTGAGATTGATTCAAAACGCCGATTGATGGCGCAACAATGCAGCGGGAATTTTCAAATCATAATTGCATTAATATTAATTATTTTTATTTATTAACAATTATAAATTCAAATTTTCAAAGGAATTATTTAAAAATTTAGTTATTTATTATTCCACCACCGGGATAGATACTAGAAATGTTTTTTTTTTAATATTTTTTATTTTCTCAAAAGTGTCATATTTCGGAGGTTCCAATATAGGTAAATTGTAAATATGCCCTAAAATGTATGTAGTAAAAAAAATCGTATTTTACGTATTTACCATTGTAATTTACCGAAGAAAGCGTAATTACACAACCCTTGTTATAAAAACCGAAAAATGGATTGTGTTTTTAAATAAACTAATTATAATATAATTTTGTAATTAATTTCCATTATACAAAATAGATAGATAATAATAAATGTCTTTTACATAATGTACGGACTTTTAAAAGTTCGTAATTTTCATTTAGTTAATGCAAAACCGGTTGACAATTTAGTGCAAAATTTTTACTTGTGTTCTTTTTGCAAATTTTATCATCAACAAACTTTAAAATGTGAGTAAATAACTATTATTTCCGAAAAAAATTAAATGTCTAATATTATATTCTAATACAAAGCTTCTTACCAAATATTCTTTTTTTCCCCGTGTTTTTTTTAAGGTTATGTTTTTAATCTTATTTTGCATTTTTTTTTAGTTTTGTTGCTTGATTCACTAATTAAACAATTGTTTAATGTAATTTTCCTTCTATTTGTAGTGTTTAAAAATTTTTTAATATTATTTAACGTTTAAAAATGTAAATTATAAACCTTCAAACTATTTTTAAGGTTATGTTTAACATGTGTATTTTTTTTGCAAAAAAATATATCGTTGACAAAATATTATTATTAATTTCACAATAATTATTGTAATTAAATTTTAATTTTAAATAATTTTAATCATTAATTAATAATTAATTATCAAAATAATTTGTAAATAAAAAAAAAAATATTAATTTATTTTAAAAATAAAAATCTAGTTCTAAAATGTCAACAATTAAAAAATTATTCAACAACTGCGAAAATATCAGAAATAAGCATTCCAATTCCAAAGAAAATAAAACGTAAAAGTGGAAAATTTCTCGAAATATTGGAAGGTAAGGCTTTATTTTTCAAAAATAGAATTTTTGTTATTTAAAAATTTTATTTTCTAAAATTTTTTATTATTTATCAGTTACTGAAGCTGCAGCCACAAACAGAAGGACTAAAGTTAAAAAATTAAATGCTGAAAATTTGTCAAAATTTGTCGAACCAAATAATGTAAGTTTCTTTCTAAATATTATTCTAAAAAAAATCTTTATAAATAAATTAAAAAAAAAAAAAAAAAAAAACCAATTTCTATTTATTTAATTTATTAAATTTTAATATTTTTTAAGGTCGAAATGGAAAAAATTAAAGATAAAAATGTAGCAAAGAAAAAATTTAAACAGAAAGATATTTCAAAGGTGAGAAAAAAAATTTTTTTTTTTAAATATAATTTACTATAAAAAAATTTAATTAAATATTTTCTCTAGGTAATAGAAGAAATTAAATTATTTACAAATCAAAAAAAATCAAAAGTGGAAGAAGGTAAAACGAAAAATTCAAAGCCTGTTGTTGAAGAAAAAGTAATGAAAACAGAAAAAACTTCATCAACAGTAGATAATTATTTAGAAGCAAAACAATCTAATTTATATTCATTTTTTCAAACATGCATTAATTGTGGAAAAGGAAAGCAAGCATTGAATCTTTTACTTCATTTTGAAAAAAGTTCACAACCACAAAGGCAAATACATTTTAAAAATGTGAAATTTTATAATTTATTTTTTCGCTATTTAGCGTCAATGGGAGATTTTAAAAATGTTTTATTGCTAAAAAATTTAATGAAAAAACATTCTATTTTAATGAACGCCGAATCTTATGCATTTATATTTGAATGTCTCGCTAGAAGTGATAATACAAAAAAACTTGGTTTGTATAATTAATTTAAATTAAAAACAAAAACAAAAAATTATTATTTAATTTAAATAAAATTTTTCAATTGCAGAATTTCTCAAAACAATTAAAACTGAAATGATTGAAAATAATATAAGTTTAAATTCAATAGTAACATCGCCATTATTTGTTAAAGATCAATTAGAAAAAATTTTAGAAATGATTAAATTGTTAGACGAAAATTTTACACCACATTTTCAATTAAAAACAATAAAATATAATAATCATTTACTGGATAATATTTTCAATGAACGTAATTATGAAAGTCCAGCAAAGAATTTATTTAAACTTGACGATTTGAAAGCGAGGGCAAAAAAACAATTTGACATTGAATCAATTGGTGAAGTTGAAATTCAAAGTATTGATAAACAATTGGAACCAACGAAGAAAATTCTACAAAATGTGAGTTTAAAATTATTTTTTTTTTTTTAGTTAATATTTCTTTATTTGTAAAAAAAAAAATTTTCAGAAGGAGGAATTAAATGAATTACATGAAAAATGGCGAATTGATATAAGTAATGCATTTAAGAGAAATTTGTCAACACTAAAATTAAGGGAAAAAGATTTAAGAATTTCTGATTTAAATCCATATCTCACTGTTTTTGAGCCTGAAATTTATGTTAATGCTATATTGAGAGAAGTTAAAATTCTCATACAATCAACTGAATCATTTAGTCAACCGATTACTTATTTAGCGAAAGATTTGGCTTTAAGTATATTTAAAAAATATGAGGTATTTAATTATTATTATTATTATTATTATTATTATTATTATTATTATTATTCATCTATAAAAATAGACGTACAAAAATTATTATTACTAGAAATAATAATTTAATATTTTTTTTTGCATTTTGAATAGTATAAAATTCAACATGAGGAAAAATTACACGACAATATTTTAAAATGTTATGAAGATTATTGTAAATGGTTTTTATATAATGGAAACGCTGAAAATGGTCGTATAAAATGGTTACATTTGGAATATCAATTAAAAAAAGAAGGTCAATGTTCACATTATCCAATTTTACAATGGCCATCAGATGTATTAAAAGAAGTTGGAAGATTTTTGTATGATATTATATTAAAAGATTTAAAAGTTAATATCACAATGAGAGATGGGAATAAAATTGCAGTCCCTGCATTTTATGTGATTTTTCGAAGTAAATTTAAAGTAATGAAAGAGGAGGTAAGAAATTCCTTTTTTTTTTTGCATTTTTCCAACGGGAACAAAATTTATTTTCTATTTATACACGTATTTAAATAATAAATTATTTTATTAACTAGCAATATTAAACGCGCGCAAGCGCGTCAAATTGAGTATTTAATTATTTGTTATAGAGAAATTAAAAATTAATATTATCAATAATTATTTAAATTTATTAGAATATTATTCCATATTAAATGATAAAAATAAAAATTATATGTTTATAGGCTTCAGATTATTAATTATTAAATTATTAAATTTTAAATTCAAAGTCTTTTAAAATTCAATTATTTTCCAAATTTTCAATTTAAAATCAAATGAAATTCAATTATTACCCAAAATTTCCATTCAAAATCAACTAAAATTCACTTATATTCCAAATTTTCAATTTAAATTCAAATAAAATAAAATTATTTTCTAAAATTTCATTTCAAAATTAATTATCAAAAATCAACTAAAATTGAATTATTATTTAAAATTGTAATTAAAATTTAATTATTTTCCAAAATTTCAATTCAAAATCCAAGACAATTCAATTATTTTCCAAATTTTTAATTCAAAATCTTTTAAAATTCAATTATTTTCCAAATTTTCAATTTAAAATCACATAAAATTCAATTATTATTCGAAATTTTAATTGAAAATCAACTAAAATTAAATTATTTTTCAAATTTTCAATTAAACATCAACTAAAATTGAATTATTCTCAAAAATTTAAATTCAATAATTATCCAAAATTTCAATTCAAAATTAATTATTATCAATATTTTCAATCAAAAATAAACTAAAATTCAATAATTTACAAATTTTTCTTTTTAAAATTAACAAAAATTCAAATACTTTTCAAATTTTTCTATTGAAAATTAACAAAAATTAAATTATTTTTCAAAATTTCAATTCCAAAATCAACTAAAATTCAATTATTTCCCAAAATTTCAATTCAAAATCAAAGAAAATTTAATTATTTTCTAAAATTTCAATTCAAAATTAATTATCAAAATTTTCAATAAAAAATCAACTAAAAATGAATTATTATCCAAAATTTTAATTGAAATTTAATTATTTTCAGAAATTTGAAATCAAAATTAAAGAAAATTTAATTATTCTAAAAAATTTGAATTCAAAATTAATTGAATTTTCAATAATTTGAATTTAAAAGCATTTAAAATTTAATTATTTTTAAAATTTTCCATCGAAAATTTTTTGAAATTTAATAATTTCAATTATAACTCTAAGGGAATTCAATTATTTTTAAATATTTTTATAATATTCTTTGAAAATTCAACTATCTGAAACCATTTTTCAATTAAAAATGATTATATCAAATTATTGTATTTTGTCTGTAATTTCTAATAAATTTTTTAGTGAAATCATATAAAATTTTAATTAAAATCACTTGAAGTTCAATTAATTTCAAAAATCTCAATTTTAAATTTTTTGAAAATTCAATTAAATTTAAAAAATGTTTTCCAAAAAATTTTTTGATAAACTATTTTTAGTTCTGTAAAATTTTATTATTTTTTTGAAAATTAACAATATCTTTTGAAATTTAATTATTTCTAAAATTTTCAAGTTTAATTTGACACGTCATAAGATTACTATTCAAAAAACACGTGAAATCAATAAAAGATTAACTTCAAGTTAGGACAGAAGGACAGACCAAGCATTTTATTATTATATAATAATTAGTTTTTATTTTGTAATATATAAAATTTATTAAGAATAATTATTTGATTGGAAGAAAATAATAATGAATATTTTGAAATTATTCTTTGTGGAAATTAAAAAAAAAAAAAATTGAAATAAAAATATTACAGATACAACCTCATCCATTATTGACGAAAATGAATCAAGGGTGTAATACAGGAAAATTAAAGTTTAGCTACGATACATTGCCTTCTTTATCGCCACCGAGACCATGGTTTAGTATTGACAGAGGAGGATATTTGATTAATAAAACGTCGATAATTCGTCTTCCCTTTAGTTTCGTGAGTAATATTTATTTAATATTTTTATTTGGATAAAAATTGGAAATTTTATTTATTTCAAAATTGTATATTGTTTGTTTTGGTTTAACAACTTAAAAACAAAATTTTTTGTCAATAGGCGGAACATTTTAATCTAATAAAATCGAAACCAAAAGAACAAATTTATCCATTATTAGATAGTTTAAATCAATTGGGATCAATTCCATGGAGAGTGAATACGGCAATTCTTGACATAGCAATGAAGGTACAAAAAAATAAATTTTACTTAAATTGCAAATTGCTAATCTATTTATTAATTAATTTATTTTTTTAGTTAATTATTGAGTTATTTATATTTAGTTAGTTATTTATTTTTGAAAATAGGTTTTTCAAAACGGTGGTTCGAAAGAATTAAATGTACCTGAATCACCTTCTATTTTACCTGATCCGCCTGTTAACAATAAATTAACATCTGAGAAGGAAAGACGTGAAAATGCAAAAAATGCCGCTTCTTTAAGAAAGAAGAAAAATGAAATGCACTCATTGTGGTGCGATGCTTTGTACAAATTATCGTTGGCAAATCATGTAAGTTTTATAAAAATTATTAAAATTACGTTTAAATTTAAATAGAGAAAATTTTAATATTTGCTTTTTTCTTTTCAAAAAAAAAAAAAAAAAAAACAGTACAAAGACGAAATATTTTGGCTTCCACACAATATGGATTTTAGAGGAAGAGTTTATCCAATTCCACCACATTTAAGTCACATTGGTTCGGATTTTTCACGATCAATGTTAGTGTTTGCATTAAAAAAGCCCCTTGGGCCAAAAGGTCTCGATTGGCTGAAAATTCATACGATTAATTTAACTGGTTTCAAGAAGAAGGAATCTATTAAAAATAGACTTCTTTATGCTAATGAAATTCTTGATAAAATTCTCGACAGTGCAAATAATCCACTAACGGTAATATTTTCTTCTCTTTGTTTTTTTTTTTTTTTTTTTTTTTTTTTTTTTAATTAAATCAAATTATGAAAATTTAAAAAAAATAAATTTAAGGGTGAAATGTGGTGGACAACATCCGATGAGCCTTGGCAAACATTGGCGGCTTGCATGGAAATATCAAAAGCTTTAATGTCACCAAATCCAAGTAAATATATGACTGGATTTCCAGTTCATCAGGATGGAAGTTGTAATGGATTGCAACATTATGCGGCACTTGGACGCGATCAAATTGGAGCCGAGAGTGTTAATTTGTTTCCATTTGAAACACCGCGCGACGTTTATAGTGACATTGTTGTTCGTGTAAGTATTTTTTTTCTTTCTCGTCGAAAAACAAAAATTTATTTAATAAATTAAATTATCATTAAATTTTTATGTATATTATTCTAATTTAATTTTAAAAAAAAAAATCCTTTCTATTTAAAGGTAGAGGAAGCTCGTCGATTGGATGCTGAGAAAAATGTGGAAATTGCAAAAATTTTAAAAGATTTTATTGAAAGGAAAGTGATTAAGCAAACAATTATGACGACCGTTTATGGTGTCACAAGATACGGCGCTAAATTACAAATATTAAAACAATTGAAAGGTATTTTGTCTTCTTTTTTAAAGTAATTTTTGTTTTTAAATTTTCTTTAATTAATATTTAATTAATATTCGATTTTTTTTTTGTTTTGTTCTAGATTTGGATAATTTTCCCGAAGATAAAATTCAAGAGGCAAGTTCATATTTAGCTGATCAGACATTTCACTGTTTACGAACAATGTTCACAAGCGCAAGAGAAATTCAAGATTGGTTCACTGAATGTGCGAGATTAATTTGTACATTTAGAGGAGCGCCAGTTGAATGGGAAACTCCATTAGGATTACCTGTTCTTCAACCTTATATTAAATTTGATGCGAAAATTACGTAATTATTTTCTTCTTAAAATTATCGTTTTTTTTTAATTATTTTTTAAAAACTTTCTAAATTAGCTCTGATAATTTTTTGTTTCCTTTTTTTTCACAGCAAAAGTCCAAATACATTAAAACAAAAAAATGCATTTCCGCCAAATTTCATTCATTCTTTGGATTCAACGCATATGATGCTCACGAGTTTATATTCCGAACAGGCGGGAATTTCATTTATGTCAGTACATGATTGTTTTTGGACTCATCCATCAACTGTTACTAAAATGAACGAAGTAAGAAACTAGATAATAATAATAGAATAATTAATATTTTCATAATTTTTGACTGTATTTTCTTTTTTTCAATTTCAGATTTGTCGAAAGCAATTTATTGCCCTTCATTCGGAGCCAATTTTGGAAAATCTTTCCGAATATATGTTGAATAAATTCAAATATTCTAAAGAGTAATAATGAATAATTTATTAGAATAATAGTAACAGTAATAATTTTAACAAATTTTAAAAGTTTCTCTCTCTTTTTTTTCCAGGGAAATAAAAAATTGTAAACTCTCAAGATTTGTGAAAAACTATGAAAATTTTAACAAAGTCTTGGCACAAGTACCACCAAAAGGAAAATATGACATTAAGAATGTTGAATTATCAACGTATTTCTTTAGTTAGAAAATATTGTTGAAAACAAAAAAATGTTAATAATAAAACGTGATAGTAAGATATAATTATTGTAAAAAGAAATATTTTAATATTAAATTCATTTAAATCTTTGATTTGGTTTATTAATTACAATTACAGAAAAATTAACAAAAATCCTTTTTTTCTACGAGACAATTATATCGTAGTTTCGAAAAAAAACAGTGTAAAAGAACCAGTCTTTTATATTAGAAAAAAATATAAGATGCAATGAAATTACTAACTTTAGAAAAACCTTTTTTCTACCAAATATAAGAAAAATAATAATTATGCCTAAAATTTACGGCTATGTACAGTTTTTTTTTTTTAATGAAAATTGTAATTATAGTGAATAAAATAGATTTGATCAAATTTTTCACCTTTTTTAAGCCTATATACATTTTTTTTTTTTTTTTGCCATATGGTCAACCGTTTAAGAAATAAAATATAACTATGTTTATAAAAATTATGAAGATAATCAGGCTTTAAAAAATCTTACGACTCGCACAACATATTGCCGACATATTGGACATTCTGACATTTGTTTACCACAATTTATACAGCATGCCATATGACCACATTCTAAAATAACGCATTCAATTGGTGCATCCAAACATACTTTACACAATGTTTCGTCATCCATTGTTTCTATATTTGCTGAAAGAGAAATTTTTATTAATTTATCAATAAAAATTAAAAATTCCTTATTTTTCTATAGAAAAAAAAAGAAATTAACTCACTTTCTCTTGTTTTTCGATGTTCCTCCCATAATCTACTCGCTCTATCCAATAATTCACATCTTTCAACGCAACCTTTAAAATCAACACGATTCATACTTAATAAATCTTTCAATTGTTTCACTGTTAAATATTCTAAATCTGAGATTTCTTTTATATCCGATAATTCCACTATTTTTGTCCTCTGTTTTTAAAGGGGGGAAAAAAATATTAGACAATATAATAATTATTAAATAATAAAAAAAAATAAATATTTACCGAATGAGAATCAGAAAATGAATCAGTATCTCTGATAACTGATGTTTCGGAGATTTCATCATTTTCAATTATCACAGGCTGTGCTTCTGTTTCATTAATAATTTCATCGCTTCCTGATAATTCTTCAATTTCAACTTGACTCTCATTTCGCCTTTGTTCATCAATTATTTCCGGTTCTGGAATTCTCTCCGGTCTTGGCTCTTCTGTTATTATTGGCCTTTCAATATTACTTGGTGGACTTCTTGAACGTCTCGATGATAAATCGTTTTGATTTCTCTCTAAAAAACTGTTTATCGATTTTTTTTTTTTTTTAATTGCAAAAAAATAATTTTCTCTTAAAATTAATAATAAACAAAATTTATTTAAAAATAAACCGGAAAATAAATAATATATTAATTATTAAAATTATAATAATAATTATTATTATTAGTATTTTTGTACAAAAGTGCTTGTATCGTTTATTTTGAAAATAAATAAATTAATTTAAAATATTTTTTTTTGCAAAATTAGAAAAAATAAAGTTTTTTAAATTGATTTTTCAAAATGAATTTTCTTACTTTCTGCTTCTGTCGAATGGTCCACTTTCAAATCCACCATTATTTGTGTGACAATCGCCTTCATTTGCAAATACTATGAGTAAATTTACTAAATCTTCTTTTTCTAATAAATAAAAATTAAATTTAATTAAATTAATTAATTAATTAGAATGATATAATTTGAAATATAATTGTTAATTTTAAATTAAAATATTTTAAATGTTGAAACATTTGTAATTTACAAAAAATTAGAATAAAATAACTCCAGTAAAATAGAAATAAATAAATATTAAATAAATAACAAAGTAAATAAATAATAATTATAAAATGGAATAAAAATAAATACAGTTAATAAATAATAATTATATCAGTAAATAAATATAAATAAATAAATAATAAATCGATAAATAAATAATAAAAAAAAAATTTCAGTAAAATAAAATAAAAAAATAAAATTTCCATTAAAAAAAAAAAGGAAAACAAAGACAATTTTCATTTTTTTTTCTCACCTACACAACCGCGAACAGAAACTTTCTTTGCGACGAGATATTGTCGTAAATCACGTGATCGCATTTGTTGAATTTGACTACGAATAACAGGTCTACGTGAAAGCATACTGCAATTGTCACAACATAATACTCTGTCTACCCTTCTAATAAGACAATCTGTACAAAAAAATCGTAGACAATCCATGCATTGTTTCTAAAAAAAAAAAACAAAAGACAGAGAAAAAAACAATTTTTAGGTTATAAAAACAATTAATTATTAATAAGAGAAAATATCTTTCTCAATTTAGATTACGAACAATTTTTATTACAATCCCAATAAAAAAAAAAAAAAAAAAATCAATTGATAAAAACATGATTCATTGATTAGATTATTTTCTATCAATTTTCTATTTTTCTATATTTACTTCAAATTTTTATTTTATATTTATTTTAAAAATTATTTTATATTTTAAAATACGAAAAATTAATTCGTTAATTTTGATTAACTAGTTTATATTTCATGTAGAAAAAAAAGGAAAGGTTAAAAAAATCGATTCAATATTAATTTTTGACGCAATTTGATCATTTTTTATCAGAGAGACAAAAATAGAAATTTATTTTTTTTTCAAATAAACATTATAATTATATTTAATAACTTACTTTTCTCTTGAAGAGAGAAAATTTTGTTGAACAAGATTCACATGCCATCCCGCAGCAAAACATGCACAAATTTGTTATTTACAACAAAACAGTTGTTGTTATTTATGACAAGAAAATCGACTTTATTTTTCTTTTTTTCTCAACAAAATAGTGACGGGGCGGCCATTTTTAACATTAAGGCTTTACACACAAGTAAAAATTAAAGCAAAAAGGATAGTTTACAATGAACAACGTCTGAAATGTGACACTTTTTTACGCCTCGCCAGGGATGAGAAGTACAATAAACAGAAATCTCTCAAATGTGATTTTTTTTTCGGAAAAAAATAGTTAAAGTAGATAACTTCATTACTTACCAACAATAAATAATGATAATTCAGGAATCGGTGTGTAAAAAATTGATAAATTCAATTTCTTGTTTTTCATCAAAAAACACATGTGCTTTGACGTTTGTATATACATATATAAATATATTATTACTTGATAAAGAAATAGTTTTCTTTTATAATAAAAATATTTCGCGGTACTTAATTTTCCCTTCCCTTTACGGATTAAATTTGCAAATTTTTCCAAAATTTAGAGGTTATGTTTTAATACTTTCACTTTTCCGAGAATTTTCAATTTAAATTTATACTCTTATTAAATACGTAATATTTTTGCGAAAAATCGAAATTAATTGATACACGCGCTTAATAGTGAAAGGGTGACGTTATTTTATTTTTTTCTGTGAAAAATTCAAAAAAAACATTGAATTTTGTTTTTTTTAATTACATTTTGATAATTGCGTTTGTAATATATATATATATATATATATATGTACATAGGCGTGTTGTATATATATATTTTTAAAAAAACCTTGTGACAAACGACGTGAGTGAAAATAAATCACCTTGGCTACATATTTTCTTGATCAGATTTCTTCGTGATTTTCGCAAGCGGTGAGTTTATTTAATTAACATTATTTTTACATATATTTTTTATTAAAATAAATCAATTTTCCATATAGATTTTATTTCTATTTATCAATTTTCTTTCATCGTTTTTATATTACATTTAAGTTATTATTTATTCTCTCTCTCTTTCTCTCATTTTCCTTAGTCATCATTTTCCTAAATTTTATTCTATTTTTAGAAATTTTGAATTTATTACCATTTTTTTTTTTTTTGATTTTTATACTAACCTCAAAAAATAAACAAAAAATCGAGACTTTTCTGTTTCGTTTTTGTCTGATATTTATTATTATTATTTTTATATTATTATTATTAATATTATCATTATTATTATTACCTATTATTTTTATTTTTATTTATTTAGAAAAGTTTATTTTAATAAAAACCTGAATTTTTATTGGTAAAAAAAAATTTTTTTTCTCTGACATTAAATTATTATTATATAATTTTTGTTAATTTATTTTATTTAATTTCGAAACAATTCTTTTTATTATTAATTTTTGCAGCAAAAAAATGTGATTGAATTTTTTTGATAAATTATTTATTTTAATTATTTTTCTTTATTTATTTTTTTAATTAAATTTAAAAATTATTTTTCTTTTAACTGTTAAATTTTCAGCAAAAAAGAAACAATGGCCGCATTTTTTGTAAAACGTGCTTTAAATACAAATCAACAATTTTTCTGTCGATCATTATTATTGCCAATTACAACACCAATGCAATTGCATTATGCTAATTATGGTGAAATGACAAATGGTCCAATAAAAATACTCGACAATAAAATTGCAAACGGTGAATTAATGAACGATGAACATCAAAGAAAAGTTATTGAGGCATTAGAAAATGTTTATCATCAAATTGAAAATTATCAACCGCCAACGAGACATGGATTATTTAGTAAATGGATTGGAAATAAGGGAAATAGTAAAAAAAAGAAAAAAACACCCAAAGGATTATATCTTTATGGAGCAGTGGGTGGAGGTAAAACAATGTTGATGGACCTATTCTATAATTGTTGTCAGGTATCTCGCAGTTTCGACACAAATCTCGAATCTCATGAATCTCATTTGGAAAGTCGGAAAAAAATATTAAAAAAAAAAACGATTTAAAAAAAAAAGTAGAAATAAAATGAAACAAAAAATTTTTTTAAATTCTCCCTCACTCAAAAAATAAAGTAAAAAACAATTTTTAATTTTTATTTTTATTAATTATTTACACTAATTAATTATTTAATTTTTCTATTTATTTTTCTATTTATTTTTCTATTTATTTTTCTATTTATTTTTTCTATTTATTAAAATATAATTTATAAATACTATTTATTTACAGTAGTAAATAAAAAAAAAAATTATTGTTATTTATTTATTTATTATATTATTTGTTATAATTATAAATTAGTTATATTCGTTGAGATAGAATTTTTTTTCCCCCCTTCTTTCAAAAAGACTTTTCAATTGAGATTCGTGTCTTCTTTATGGATACATTTCCAAATAAAAGAAAATTCATTTAATTTTGTAATTTTGAAATTTCTTTTAATAAATAGAAATTTTTTGTTTGTATTTGTTTTTCCTACAGTTGGAAAATAAACGAAGAGTTCATTTTCATTCGTTTATGTTGGATGTCCATAGTAAAATTCATGAAATTAAAAAAAATGTCGTTCGCGATAGAAGTAGTACAAAATTACAGCCTTATGATCCAATTCCTCCTGTTGCTGAGGAAATTATTAAAAATGCTTGGCTACTTTGTTTCGATGAATTTCAGGTATTTTTCATGTTTTTTTTTAAATTTAATTTAATTAAATTTTTAATTCATTAATTTAATTAAAACAGGGAAAAAATTGTTTTTTATTTTTTAGAAAATATTTATCTTTCTTTTTTTTAGGTAACAGACGTGGCGGATGCAATGATATTAAAAAGATTATTCACCGAATTATTTAATAATGGTGTGATAATGATTGCAACGAGTAATCGTTCGCCTGATGATTTATATAAAAATGGATTACAAAGGAGTAATTTCGTTCCTTTTATTCAAGTATTAAAAGATCATTGCACTATTCATTGTTTAGATTCGGGAATTGATTATCGTGCAAAAGCCGGATCCGGAAAGGAGAAGAATTATTTTGTGTTTGTTATTTGAATTTATTTGTTTTTTTGATTATAATATAGATATTTTAAATTTTGTAAATTGTAATTATTATTTACAAATTGAAAATCTATTATGTTAATTATCACTATTATTATATTATTTATTTTTTCTTGTTAATTACAGAAAAAACGAGGATTCCGATAAGGATATTGATAAAATTTTCAAGTATTTGTGCTCAATGGAAAATGATATGATTCGATCGAAAATTCTCACGATAAGAGGACGAAATGTGACGTTTAAAAAAACTTGCGGACAAGTTATGGATTCGACATTTGAGGAATTGTGCGATAGAGTATGAAAAACAGAATAATTTTATTTAAAAAAAATTATTTTTATATTTATTGATTAATTAATATTTCTATTATATTTATTTTGTTATTTCTTATTATTTGATCATTTTTTTTTGTTCTTATATTTATTTATAAATAATAATTATATTATTATAATATTTTTATAAAAAAAGTATTTTTAAAAACTAATTTACAATTTAATTGTGATTCTTTTTTGTTTAAAGCCACTTGGTGCAAGTGATTACATTGAAATTTGCCAAGCTTTTCACACAGTAATTATCAGGGACGTTCCACAATTAAATTTAAAGATAAAATCACAAGCGAGAAGATTTATCACTCTCATTGATACACTCTACGATAGTCGGGTAAGAGACTTTATTTTTATAATAAAAATTAATAATTTATTAACGAAAAAAAAATTTGTTTAAAAAATTTTTTTTATAATAATATATAGAATATTTTTTTTTATAAATATGAAATAAAAATTCCATTTTTTATAAATAAATAAATAATAATAATTGTAATTAGTGAAAAAATTTTCTTTTTTTTTTTATTTCTATTTATTTCAGGTAAGAATTGTCGTTTCTGCTGCGGCTCCTCACACGGAACTTTTTGCACCTGAAGCTGATGCAGAATATACAGATGAAAAAAGAGCATTGATGGATGATTTGCAAATTTCTCACGGCTCTGTAAGTAACTTTTTTTTTTATTTTTATTATTTATTTCTTTAAATTGGAATTTTTATTTTCTTTTTCACTCAAATTAAAAGAAATATTTGTAAATTTCGTAATTTGTATTTTTATAATTTTTAAATTAAATATAAAATTTTTAATAATTTATTTTCTTAATTTATTTTATTTATTTATTTACATTTTTTAGTTTTTAGTTTCTTTTTTATTAAATAAAAAATAAAATTTTGTATTAAAAAAAAGAGAGAAAAAAAAAATTTCCTTTTTCCAAAAATACAGGAAGATCATAAATCGAATATTTTCACCGGCGAGGAGGAATTATTTGCATTTGATCGCACAGTCTCACGATTATCTGAAATGCAAACCACGGAATATTGGCAAGAATGGGATCGTCATAGATAACGAAAATGTAATTTAGAAATACATACTTATATTATTATTATTATAGTAATCGCGAGTCGATGATAAATAATTATACAGCTTAATTTACATAGTTTTTTTTTCTCTAAAAAAAAAAATGAAAAAAATTATTCACATAAAATATTTTTCGTCACATTAAAATTCTAATTTTTTACATTTTGTAGATTAAAATATATTTTTCGTTATTTATTTAATTTATATAGCCACAGTCATATTGAATGTAAATGTAATTTTCCTTTCATCGAAATAATTTAAATTTTCTTGTTAGGAAAACTCGATTTTTAGTTTAGAAAAAAACAAATGTTTTTTTGTATATCTGGAATTTTTTGGAATTATTTAATAGATATTTAAAATAATAAAAGTGAGAGAGAGAGAGAGTCACTAGAGGCTAGAAAAAAAAATTTTGAAATTTTTTTTTAACTTTGCAAATATAAAACGATTGAAAAAGTTATTGTTTGTATTTTCATTTACCATTTTGTAGATAAATTGTTGAACTTTTTCTTTTGTTAAATTAATAATTAGAAATTATTTTTATTTTCTATTGTTTATTTATTATAGTATTATTTATTTATTATATATAAAATAATACAATAAGAAATAATTTTTTGCTGTAATATTCAATTATTATAAAAATATTTTTATTTATTAACTTATTTACAGTAAATTTAATAATATTAAATAAAATAATATTATTTTGTTATTGTTATTATTAATATTATTATTATTAAATTACTAATTAATATCAATAATTTGTAATAAAAAATTTGAATTAATTCGAAATTTTCCCGCCAGGTGCCACGTGTCAGGATCGACATAACCTCAAAAGTTTGACAGACGTAAATATTTTGATATATATACATGAATTCGTGTGCGAAAAAAACAGTTTCAATCAATTTTTATCGAAATAATTTAATTGTAAAATCATTAAATGATGTTTAAATAATTAACTACAATTGTAAATAATGGATATCGAAACGGAAAAAGTGATTGAATTAGTATTTCCCGAAGGAATACCAGGTTATGATTTACTTCATTTGCAAATTTTTTTTTCTTTCTCTTTTCTTTTATTTAAAATAATAATAAACTCGCTTTTCAAAAATTGTATATTATTAATTTGGAACTTTTTTTTTTACAGAATCTTGGAAGGAAAATCCCGATTTTTATCAATATTTATCAAAATTGGGAGGTTTTGACATCGATCAATTGAGTGAGTAAATTTTTTTTTTTTTTTCATTAATAATTATTAAATATAAAAAACTAAAAAAATAATAATTGACAATTGCTTTACCTTATAGAAATAAAACAATTGAGTTTTATTGTTTAACAGGCGATAAAATAATTATTGTTAGATTTATAAAAATAATTTTTTACAGATAAAGAACCCGATCATTTAATTGATGAAAAAAATGCAGTTCTACAAAATACCCAGGATCTTGTTTTTGCAAATTATAAAACATTTATACAAACCGCTGAGAGTTCAAGGGAAATTTTCAAACAAGTACATTTTTTTTTTTTTTTACCAAAAATTATTTATTTTTTCACTGGTCAAAAGATAAAATTAATTTTAAACAATTTAATTTACAAAAGAATTTTAAAATGTTTAAAAAATTTAATTTCTCAAAAAGAAAATGAAAATTTAATTATATAGTATTTAGGTGAAAAAAAAGTGCGTTATGTATTAAAAATAAAATAATAAATTTTTTTTCCAGTTTAATGAAACAGAAAAAAGATTGGAGAATTTAACAAAAGATATTCCACGTTTCATTGAAAAATGTCAATTATTTTGCGATGCATCAAAAGATATAAATTCACATCGACGTCTCAATAGTTTGACATTAAATAGAAGTGGTGAACTTTTGGAAATTCTTGAAATGCCCCAACTTATGGAATCGTGTTTGCGTAGTAATCAATACAATGAGGCATTGGAAATATCGCAATACGCACGACAATTGGGCGCAAAACATGGGGATATTCCTATTATTTCAGTGAGAAATTTCATTTCATTAATAATTATTTATTTATTCAATTTTACGATCAATTCCGTATAAAATAAAAATTAATTTAATTTTCTTTTATTTCTAAAATGAAATTTTAAAATTTAAATAAAAAAAAATGTTTTTAATGATATTTCAGTCAGTTGTGGCGGAAATTGAAAATAGTTGGTCAAGTATGGTTGGTCAAGTTGTCGGTTCACTTCGTGGTGATTTGCCATTACCTCGATGTCTTCAATTAGTTGGTTTATTGCGTTCGATGGATGCATTCACGGAATCAGAATTGCGAATTAAATTTCTTCAAGCGCGAGACAGTTGGCTTCAAGGATTACTTTCGGCGATTCCAAATGAGGATCGTAAGATTTTCCCTTTATTTATTTATTTAGTTTAAAAAAATAATTTACAATTTCTTTTTTAATCTAAACAAATTTTTTATATTTTCATAATGAGAAAGTATTTTTTATTGCAGCAAATTTTCATCTGACAAAAACAATCGAACTCTCGAGGATTCATTTATTTAATATTATCACTCAATATCGTGCGATGTTCAGCGATCAGGATCACATCACATTGGGACGTGATATTTCAATAAACGAGTCGGCGATTTTTTATCATTGGCTCGAAGAGAAAGTGAGGAAACAATTTTTTCCTTTTTTTTTTTTTTTAATAACAATTATTTGTCTTTTTTAATATTTCAATTACAATATTCTTTGGAAAAAGAAAAATTAGTTTTTAATTTTTAAACTATATTAAATTTTTATGAATTTATTTAAAATAAATAAATTTTATTAACAATGAAAAAATAAAATTTGCAGATTTCGCAATTTCTCGGAACATTGGAACAAGATTTACCGGGTGTAAATTCCTTGGATTCAATTCTCGGGCAGTGCACGTATTTTGCACTTTCGTTTGGAAGAGTTGGCGCTGATTTTACTGGGCGAATGTCGGATATTTTTGTTAAAATAATTGGCGATAAAGTCGAGGCAAATATTTGGAAAACAACGAGAAAATTTGAGAAAGACATGGAAACATTTACGCTTATTAATAAAGTTCAACGTGCGGATGTTAAAATCGAAAATGTCGCTCCATCTGTAAGATATATTTTTTGCATTTTAATTAATTTTACTATTTCTATTTTTTTTAATTAATTTAATTTCACTTCTAATGTTTTAAACAAAAAATAAAAAATTTTTTTAATAGTAAGTGTTTTGAGTAATAAAATAAAAGATATATTTTCTTTTTTTTTAACAGGAAAATCCTCCGGAACAATTGATGGAATTTTATCCGCTCGCTGAATATTGTAATGGATTAATAGCAATTTTCAATGATTTTCGACTTTGTTCGCCAGTTTCGCTTTCGCAAAATTTCACAAAACTCATGCAAGAATCACTTTCTTGTGTTGCGAGGGCAATGCTTATTTTTTATAAACAGGAACAACAGGTATTTTTCCTTTTTTTTTTCTCGTCAAAAATTTCAAGAAATAATTCAAAAAAATTTTTATTGTCTAAATTGATTTATTCATTGATTTAATATAGATTCATAATTATTTTTGAAAATTTTTTGCAGGCTTTCACCGTCAACGAAAGGGAAAATATGTTAAAATTTGTCGAATGTCTCAGCGAACAATTAATTCCCTATGTTCAATTTTGCATTCACGCACTTTTTCCCTCTCAGCAAATATCGACACATCTTGAAATTTCTCCCGTCCAATCGCAAAAAGAGGTAAGAAAAAAAAAATAAAATAAAAAGGGGGTAAATTATAAAATAAAAATTTCAATATTTCGTAAATTAAATAATTTTTCTTTTTGTAAATTAAAAACCATTTCTTTTTTTGTTTCAATTAAATTAAATTTTTTTTCTATTTACAGAGCGTGACTTATTTAAACGAAAAATTAATTCTCGAACCACTTGCAAGTTTACTTCCAATTCGTGATATTCCAAAGGATTCTTTCCTTCACGAATTTCCCGTTGCCATCGAAAAATTCAAATCAAATGAGCCGGAAAATTTAATTCCAAAAATTTCGAATATTGAAAATGTCAATGATTTTAGTAGTGAGAAAATAGGTGAAATTCCCGATGAAAGAATTTCCAATGTTGATGTTTTAAATTTGAAAACAATTTCAATGGAAAGAGAAAGAGAAAAAGAAGAAATTTCAATTCCCGTGAGTACAATTAATGAGTCAGTTTTATTACAACCGATAGAGGCGAATGAGTCAATTCTAAAATTAGATACAATGCAATTGACCGAAAAAGAGAATGAAATCTAATTTTTATTCTGTGATTTTTCTCTAATTTTGAGATTTTGTAAATAAAAAGAATAAAATTCCAATTTTATTTACTTTTTCTTTAAGGAAATTTCATTCGACGATTTTGGATTCTTTTTAAATATTTCCAAAACGAAAACTATCAATTTTTTTTTTTTAAAAAAAACTATTTCATTAGGAAATAATTTGATAAATTTGCAAAAAAAAGGACAAAACGTTTTTTTTTCTAGATATTTTGAGACTGTTTTTATTTATTGAGCTTGTGTGAATAAAAATGAAACTTCTACAAACTTTGACTGCAAACCTTAATAACTAGTACAGTAATTTGTAACTCTTTACAAATCGTTAGATAGACTAAAAAAAAAGCACAAAACTATTCTTAAATATAAATGATGAAATTAAATTAGAAAATTCTTTAAATTGCATTTTTAACATTATTTTTTCAAATACGAAGAAAACAAAAGAATAATGATTATTTACAACCGTTTCATTATTTAAAAAAAAAATATGTTCCTTTTCAGTAACTTTTAATAGGTTTCTTTTCTTTGCAAAAAAAACAAAACAAAAAAATGTTCTTCCTTATCGAAAAAAATCATTTTTATAAAAATTATTTTTTTTTAGAAAAATTTTTTAAAAATATTTTTCTATTATCTTTTTTATAAAAATGATTTTTTTTGTTAAAAAAAACCTTCTTTCCAGAAAAAATTCTTTTTTTTTCTATAAAAAACTTTTTCTTGTGAAAAAAATAGGTTTTACTCTATATAAAAAAAAAAAATTGTTTTTTTTTCTTTTTTTTCTCTAACAATCTACAAATTCTGGATCCAAATATTCCACTTCAAAATTCATTTCATCATCCGAATCAAATTCAACCTCCTCATCATCAATAACACCAACAATCTCATCATTTTTTCTCAATATTTCAGTTTTTTTCTCTTCTTTCTTCGTTTTTCCTTCATTTTCCAAATTATGAATATTTTTATTTTTTTTCATTACATTTGGAATTGAAATAAATTTCTGCTCCTGTTGTAATGCTTGTTTCATAAATGTGACTTTTTTCTGTAATTTCTTTTGATGTTCGCGATTACTCATTGTTGTATTTATTGTCTCATCTTGTGTGACAATAATTGATTTCTCAATTTCTTTCACTTTATTATTTACCTCTGGTTGATAATCAAATGATAATTGTTCGGCTTTTACATTAACATTATCTTTAGTAATAATTTTTGTCACAGTTGCTTTTTTATTATTATGTTCAGTTTTCATTTTTCTCACTTCGCGTAATAATTTTTCATATTCATCTTCATTTGTGTCTTCTGTATTAATGAGTTTTCGTTTTTTCGTTGATATTGAATTCTTTATTTTTGAATCGTCATTAAATGTTGTTTCTATTTTTTTTGGCATTGTCATTAAACCTTGAAGTTTGAGTATTTGCTCCTGTTCCTCTTGATGACGTTTTTTAAGTGTTGCTAATTTTTTACTTAATTTCTCACAATCCTCTTGTGCTTTGTTGTAAAGGGTCTTGAGATTCGTTAATTTTGGATCGAGGCTGCAAAAAAAAAAAAAAAGAAATTACAAATAATAAAATTAATAAATAATAAAAGTGAATATAAAAAGAAAATTACCTTTTTCTAGTTGATTTTTCCCTCTCAACAATTGGACTTGTCACTTGACTTGAAATTGTATCCAATGTTGAATTTGTTTTTATTAATTTTGGTTTTGTTTTTGATTTTGGCGTTGATTTTTTTTTATTCTCTATCGTTTCAACGACAATTTCACCCGATGGATTTAAACGAAATATTACGGATTTATTTAAACTTTTTACTAAAACCTCCTCTGCTTTTTGTTTAATTACTTTTTTTGCTTCCTCTTTTTTACCAACAGGCTCGTCATTTAATTTATTTATCGAAATTTTCAAAATTGGTCGCCTTGCATCGACTGATGGTGAATTCGATTTTGTTGCTGTTATCGTCGTCGTCGTTGTTGTTGTTGTATCATTTTTTTGCTGTTGATTTAAATTTGATTTTGTTTGTAAATTTTTTTTATTCTCAAGTATCTCTTGTAATTGTGAAATTTGTTTAGTTGCCATAATTTTTCCATTTGTTGTCGATGATTTTTTTGAAATTTGTTTCGATGATGATGTTGATTTTTTTGCAACAATTGGTGATAATTTTGGTTGAATTGGCGTTAATTTATTAAGAATCGGTGATGTTTGAACTTTTACCAATTGCGAGGGAAATTGTATTCGTTGAATTTGAACTGGATTTGTTGTTGTTGTCGTTGTTGTTGTTTGAACCGGAAGTATTGATGGTGTTTGTAATTGAATTGATGATGTTAATAATTTACCCGGTGAAATTTGCATTAAATTTGAAGGAAAATTTGTTGGTTTTGGTAATATTGGAATTTGTTTATTATTTGAATAATCGGGTATTAAAATTGTTTCAAATTTTGGTGATTGAATAATATTTTTAATTTCTGTTATTTCAGAAGTTTTTTTCTCTTTTATTGTTACTATTGGTTCATTAATTTTTCGTTCCTCATCAGGAAATACACTTGGTACAGCATCGGGTTTTAATATTGGATAACGACCAATTGACGATGGTTCAATGTCTTCAATTAAAAAATGTGTACTACATATTTGATCCTGAATTGTTGGTGAAAAATTTTTTTGATCAATTTGTGATAACCATGAGTTCATTAATTCATTGTTGTTAAACGGGAATCTGAAAAACAATTTTTTTTATTTGATTTATTTAATTTTTTAAATTTAGAAATTTAGAAATTTAGAAATTCTAAATAAAAATTCTAATCTTTTGCAATCAATATTATTTTAATTTACAACCTATTTTTTCTATCTAAATGTTACTAGTTTCGTAAAACATTTTAAATTTTAATTTAAAAAAAAATCGGAAAAATAATAGATTTACGAATCTAACCTCAAAAAAAAGTTTCGCAAAAATATTCGAAATTTACTTATTTAGAAATAAAATTAACAGGAAAACAATTATTATAAATCGAAAATTGCCAATTTTTGTAACAATTTTTCAAATTTTCTCCTGTTTTTTTTTGTTTCTTTTTCTTATTTCATGAAACAATACGAACCTAACCTCAAAAAAGAAAAAATTAATAATTTTGAAATTTCTGACTGAAATTAATGTAAATAACTTACTTGAAATAAGCCACTGGCTTCCACTGAATACTTTTGTAGCTCTGACAACCACGAATAGAGCAGCTTTGCATTTTTATTGCAATTTTTTCTTCTTTTGGACAATTATTAAAGCGACATTTCTGCTCGCAAAGAATATTTGTTTATTTATATATAAATATCATGCACATTCACTACAAAGTTTATCACAAATTCACGATTGTTTATTTATAATCACCATTCAATAATTAACAATTATAATAACAATAAAATTGTTAACTTTTTTTTAATGAAAAAAGAAAGACGTTTAAAATGACGTGACGTCATAACAAAATGAAATTTTTCGTGTCAATTTTCACACACACTTGTCGAAAACAAAATTATCAATACCGGAAGCAATGGAGAATGCACTTTTTTTTTGCTATTGATTACTTTTAATTTTCAATATAAACTTTTAATTATATATTTAATTCACATAAATATGACGTTTTTTCTATTGAATAAAAATTGATGGCGTCTTTACATCGTCTCGAAATGACAACTTGAGTCAAAAATTTGAAATTTATAAGAGGAAATGTTAATTTGTAAAAGATTTATATTGTAAAGTAGAGAAAAAATTAATTCAAATAGTTAATAATCATTGCAAGAAAGTTAATAAATTGTTTTTGTTGTAAGTGGAAATTAAATTTACGTGTAGTTTAAAAAAGAAATTATAGGCGCACTTGTGTTTTGACTAGAGTAGTGTGTTAGAGTGACGCCATATTTAAAATTAAAGATGGCGGACAATTTTATAACGGGTGAACAAGAAAATTTTGTGCAAAAATAAAAAAAAGTTAATCGGAAGATTTAATTAAATTTCTTTAATGTAAGAGGTAAGAAATTAAATGAATTATTGATTTTTTAGTTAATATCTGTTTGAATTATTTGTTGTACATTATATTTTTCCCCGTGCGGATTTTTTCATCCATTCCCTCGTTTCTTATACACGTGACATAACCTCAAAAATTTTGACAATGAACACATGTTTCGTTTCTTTATAGTAAAAATTGTTTTCTCTTTAGTAATACAAAAATTTTGTTAGTTTTGCAAATTTACCAATTTTTTTAATAATTGAAAGAATTTTTGGTTAAAAGAATTTAATAAAATTGCAATTATATTTTGGTAAAAAAAAATTTATTGCAATAGGAAACAAAACGAAAGTGGAAAAATGGTTTTTCCAAAAAGAAAGAAAAACAATAATTGCAGTGGTTGGAAATCGGTGAATTTAGAAGGAACTGTTTTTAATTCAGAAATTGGAGATTTAATTGGAATTGAAGAATTGACTAATTATAAAATCGAAGATGAAAAAATTGTGCCTTTAACAATTGAGGAGAAAAAGGTAAATAAAAACTTTTATTTTAAATAATTTTTAGATATAATTTATTTACCATAAAAACTTTATTTAAATTTATTATTACTATTATTAATATTATTATTATTATTATTATTTATCACTATAATTTATTTTAGTAAAAATTGGTTTCTTAAAATACTTTTTTCTAATAAAAATTTTAATTTCTAATGTGTTTTCAATAAATTTTATTTCTTTTTACATATTTTTATTTTTTCTCGAAGTTTTTTTTTGCAATTAAATTTTATACGAAAAATTTAATTCGTTTAAATATTTTCATTGAAATTTATAATTAAAAATTTTTTAAAGTCGAATAAAAGATCGAGAAATGTGGAAATCGATCGTTCAACGAAGAGAAAGAAAAAGGAATTAAATTTAAAATCAAAAAAAAAGAAAAAGAAAGAAGAAAAAATCGACAACGACGACGACGACGACAAAGAGGAAAATAATGTGGAAAATTGTGAAAATTTAATTGAAAAAAATGAATTAAATTTCAATTCAGTAGAGTGGACATCGCTTGGAGTGCCTGAGATTATTTTAAAATCATTGCGCGAACAAAATTTCGAAACACCAACGCAAATTCAATCATTAACATTGGCACCGGCAATTTTAGGAAGACGCGATATTCTTGGCGCCGCTGAAACTGGAAGTGGCAAAACTCTTGCCTTTGGTATTCCAATAATTCATGGAATTCTCGAATTAAAGAAAAAACAACAAAACGAGGCCGATAATGAAAAAAATAATAATAATAATAATAAATTTATTGCCAGCAAAAGTGGAAAATTCATAGAAACGAAGAATGAAAATTCTATAAATTCGGAAATTGAAAATTCCGATAATGAAAATTCCATGGATTCGGAGGATGAAAATTTCGATAATGAAAATTCTGAAGTATCGGATGATGAAAATTCTGAAAATGAAGAAAATTTTGACAATGAAAATTCAGAGGATTCGGAAGATGAAAATTCCGAGATTGAAGAAAATTTCAATTTAAAAAATGAAATGCAAATGGGTTGTGTAAAAGTGATAGATAATATAAAAATTAAATCCAATGTAAATTCAATGAGAAAACCATTGTATGCATTAATTTTAACGCCAACGAGAGAATTGGCGATACAAATAAAAAATCATTTGACAAAAGCGGCAAAATACACGGATATTCAAATTGCTGTTGTTCTTGGTGGTATGGCAGCTGTAAAACAGGAGAGAATATTAAAAAAATGTCCAGAAATTGTTATTGCAACACCGGGAAGATTTTGGGAGCTTGTAAGCGAGGGAAATCCACATCTCAATCAACTTGATTCAATAAAGTAAGTTGAAATATCTTTTTCTTTTGGAAAATTTTCAATTATTCGCTAAAATTAATTTCTATTTAATTATTTGTTATTTAAGTATTATTTAATAATTATTTTTATTTATTAATGAAACTTATTTTAAAGTTTTTAATTTTCTGTTTCTTATTTTTGTGATAGGTTTTTGGCGATCGACGAAACAGATCGAATGTTAGAAAAAGGACATTTTCAAGAATTACATTCAATTATTGAGAGAATAAATATTGATGAGAAAAAAGTAAAGGAACGTCAAAATTTTGTATTTTCCGCAACATTAACAATGGTTCACGATTTGCCGGATTATTTACGAATGAAAAAGAAACGTAATTCACGCAGTAAAATATTTAAATTAACACCTGGACAAAAATTGCAACGAGTCATTGAAATGTTGAAAGTGAAAAATCCAAAAATCGTCGATCTTACGAAAGAAAAAGGTTTGCTTTTATAATACATTTATTATTTTACAAAAAACGAAAAAATAATATACAAATAATAAATGGGAAATATTTTATGAAATAATGTGGAAAAATTTTTTTTTTTTTTTTAAGGAACTGCTGGAAGTCTCACTGAATCGAGAATTGCTTGTACGATCGATTATAAGGATTATTATTTATATTATTTTCTAAAACGTCACGAGGGACGAACTTTAGTTTTTTGCAATAGTATCGGTTGTGTGAAAAGATTGGCGACACTTTTTGGTATTTTGGATTTTAATCCATTGCCACTACATGCAAATATGGTGCAAAAACAACGACTCAAAAATCTCGAAAGGTAAATAAAAAAAATTCTAATTCTTTATTTATAACTATGCATTATTTTCTAGAATTTTACAGAATTTAATTTTATAGAATTTTGAATAATTATTTAATCGAAATTAAGAAAAGTATAGTTTTAAAAAATGTTTTCATTTGAAAAAAAAAAATCCAATGAAATAAAATTGATTTTAATTTTAGATTTCAAGCGAATGAAAATGGTTTTCTAATTGCGACGGATGTTGCCGCGAGAGGTTTGGATATTCCCAATGTTGAGCACGTTATTCATTATCAAGTTCCTCGAACGTCAGAGGTAAATTTATTTTTAAATTTTCCAAAAAATATTTATTTGCAGCTATTTTATATGGAATTTTAATTAAATTTGATATGAATATTTTTTTTTAGAGTTACGTTCACAGAAGTGGCCGAACTGCACGAGCACAAAAAGAGGGAATCACTGTTTTGTTGATGGAACCTTCGGAAAAAGATTTGTATATGAAAATTTGCAAAACTCTCGGTCGTGGTAAGAATTTTATTATTTTTTTTTTAATTTCTCTTATTATTAATTTTTAATTTTTCTATTTTTTCTATCATTTATTTAGTTTTTCTTGGGTTTTCATTGTTTTATTTTTTAAATTTTAATATTTGGTATGTATTTTTCTTTATTTTGTTATTTTTTTAGAACATGATATTCCAACGTTTCCGGTGGTCGAACGTTTATTGCAAACGGTGAAAGAGAGAGTCGATATTGCGAGGGAAATCGACAAATTGGAATTAAGTTCCCGTAGAAATAATTTGCAGAAAGATTGGATTCGTAAAGCGGCCCAGGAAATGGACATGATAATCGAAGATGCCAGAGAGTAAGTAAAATTTTCCTTATCAATAAAAAAAAAAATTTCATTTTTCTTGATTTGCAAATTTAAATTTAAAAAAAGAAAAAAAAATTATAATTGCACTATTTTAAATTCAATTATAAATTAAAAATTTTAATTCATATTATTAAATTAGTAATTTAATTAATCAATCAATATTTATTATTAATAAATAATAATAGTTAGAAAAAATTATTGAAAAATAATAATAGCTAGTTAAAATAATTATTTATAATAACAACAATTAATAAATATCTAATTTAATTTATAATTATAAAAAAATAATAATTTATAAAATACAGTAAATTTATATATTTGAATATTTTAAAAAAATATATAATTTGGTTTAAAAATTCACAATTTGCATTATCAAAGAAATAAATTGTTTATTTAGAAATTCAACAACAGAAAATGAAGAAATTGCAAATATAAAACGTGCCCTCAAAGCAAAACGCAATCAATTAATGAATCTATTGTCGAAGCCACTGTTTCCAAAAGGATTTTCCGGCAAATATCCAGATATGGATTTACATAAACAAATGAATGAAAAACCAGAAAAGGCAATAGAATTAATGAAAAATGCAATTAAAAATAAAAAAATAAAACAACAACAATCAACGAAAAAAAATGAAAATGGTAAAATTGTCAAAAAATTGTCGTCAACAAAGAAATTTAAGAGAAAGAAAAACAAACCTGTAAAATAAAACAGAATGGTAAATTGAAATGAAATTCATATGTTTTTTTTTTATGAAATTATGAAATTTTTATTTATTTCTTTTTTTTTATTAGAAATCTTTTTTTTGTTTTTTTTTATTTTTTATTTATTTATTAATACAAGTCTTGATAAAAAAAAAAATCTCATAGGTTTTCTATTTTCTACAAGTTTGTGTTTGTCTTATAAATTGAGCCGTTTTTTTTCCTATACGCAATTCTAGTTATTTTCATAGAAGAAATTCTTTTTTTATTTATTTAAAATTATTAGAGTAGATATTTACAATGGATTTTATTATTATTTTCTTTTCTCTCCCTTCAATTCGTTTATACATTTTTTTTCAATTTATACACATTTTTTCCCAATATAATTTTTTTTAAAATTAATTAATTAAGAATAATAATTAATTATTTTGAATTAATTAATAATTATTCTTAAATAATTAATAATTATTCATTATCAATTTTTTCCATTTTTTAAATTACAAAAAAATTTCAAAATTCGATTTTTTGAATTTTTTTATGGCAGGGGGGAAAATATTCAAAATTGCCATTTTGAGTTTAAAATTCCTGAATATTTTTCCTAATATTTTTTTCTTGGAAAATTAATTTTTTTGTTTAAAATAAATAAAATAATTTTTTAAAAAATTTTTAAAATGGAAATTATATAGTTTTTTTTTTGGTAAAATATATTTTTATTTCATATTTTAAAATTTGAGATTTTTTTTGTGTTTCAGAATTTTTTTTTTGGCGAAAAAGTGAAGGAGTTAAAAATCAAAAAGTCCAACGCACAATCGAATATTTATCAGTTCAAAAATGATAAAAGACACTATTCTCAAGTTTTGGTAAAGTTAATTTATTTATTTATTGAGATCTATTTCAAACAGAAATTAAAAAAAAAATCAATTCAATTATTTAATTAAATAATTGTAGATAATTTTATTCATTTTTTAGAGATAATTTCAATTATTTCATTATAATAATTGAATATCTCTAATTTAAAAATTTTAAAGACTCAAATATTTTGAAAATAATTTCAAATTATATTAAATAAGTATTATTATTATTATTTGGATATTATTTAAATTATTTCATTCGATAATGAAATTATTAAATTTTCATTTTTTTTATAAATATTTTTTTTTTTGTAAAATTTAAATAATTCAGAAAATTTTGACTCGGGTGGATCAATTTTGAAATTTGGCGGGAAAATTCAAAAGTTCGATTACTATCGATAGTTCTGTCGAGAAATACAAAAAGTTCGATTCGATTTCAATTTATTATGGCGGGAAAATTCGAATTCGACTTTTTTAAATTTCGTGACTCAAAAAAATTCTCTCTCTCTCTCTCACACACACACACACACATTAAAAAAAATTGCAAAATTGAGCTAATAAATCGAGTTATATATAATATCATCACTTGAATTAATAATTGGATCACTGTGCGTTATCATTACTGAATTAATATAACGTCCCTCTTTTTTTCCCTGTTCACTTTCATATGTTTCTTTACTTTTAACAATTATTTTTATTCTCGCTTTAACATGATGATTTGTTGTATTTTTAAAATCCGAATGTATTTGAAATCGTGGATGTATTTGTGGTTCAGTGTCAATTTGATAACGTGGTTGTATTTGTTGTAAATAATTTTTATTCTCTATTCTTTCAATATCATCATTATTCAATGATAATTGATTTTCATTTTGAATAAAACGTGGTTTAATTTCAGGTTGAAATTGTTGTTCTTTTTGAAAATTTTCATTTTTTAATCTCGGAATAATTTGTTGATTTTCATTTTGTATTCTCATTGATTTTATTGGGGAATTTTCAATTTTAAATCGTGGTAAAATTTGTGGATGATCAATAATTGGTGATTCATTGCGAATTCGTGGTGGTATTTCTGGATATTTTTGTATTTCTGTTTCTTTATCGGTATTAATTCGTAATCGAGGTAACACTTGTGGTTGATTATCATTTTTTGTTGAATTTGTACTTTTTCGTATTCTTTCCTTACGAATTTGTGGTCGGATTTGTACACGCGATTGTCGTTGAATTTGTGTTTTGAGTTTTCCTTCTTTTTGTTGATCAGTAGTTTCGATTTCAATTTTTGGATCTTCGCATATTTCGGCGTAAATATCTTCGGGTTTTGATTTTGTTTGTTTTGGCGGTAGAGGAAGGGGTGTCAGACTATCACGAACACGGGAATAATTCGGTTGGACTTCAATGTCAGCTGAAACTTCGAGGACACTTGTTGAAACGGATCTTTGAACTGGTTGTTTTGTGGAATTATTTGAATGATGATGATGATGATGATTTTGTGATGTTTCAGGCTCTAGACTTGAGTAGCGTTCTTGTGCTTTCATTGCGAGTTCCGGTCGAATGGCAAATGTGAAGGAAGCGGATTTTTTCGCTGGATTTCGACTTCGATTTGCTTGTGTTAATTTTGTGATTCTATCAAGGAATCCATTGCCCTGTTGTCGGGTTTCACTTCGTTCGCGTACTGTTGTCTTTTTTAATTGTTCGATTCCATCGCGAAGACTTTGGAGAATTGGTTTTGTCTCGGTTTTCGGTTTTATTTTCTTTAGATGCATCTCCTTGAGATTTTCACTTGAGTCGTGCATCTTGAGCGGTGCAACTCGTGGTTCCGTTGCTCGATCGCCAACGGCACGACTGAAATTTCAAGAAGTTAGGATAAAAAACACCAGAATAATTATTGAAATAATATGAATTAGGTGAAAAAAGAATTCAATAAAGAACCGCGTTAATCGAAATTATTAATCGAGCTTCCCAACCCTGGTCGATTTGAAGTTTCCTATCTGATTTCGTAGTTCATCCTCATTGTCGTTATATGTTCAGTATTTTGTCAATCCTTCTTGTTGGAAGGTTGGAAAAATTTTTTTAGTCTGATAACTTCATTAAAAACTTGTTTCAAACAAGAAAAAAGTGTTTTCTACAGTCGAATAGAAAAATATTGTTTCCATTTAGATTCCGAATAAAGTCATTTTAATTTAGAAAAAAGTATTTATGTTACGTCATTCCCCCTGTTAGGTGGTTATTTTGAAGCTGATATTTATTTTATCTATTAATAGAAATATTAATACATACGTCGATAAAGTAAATATCTGTAAATAATTATGTTACAAAATCGGTTTTTAGGCGGGAAATTTAAAATTACCTGCACGCTGTTAGTAGTCCCTGCATTTTTGGCGAGGCAAGTAATCTCGCTTCGGAGGGATAACCTAAACGTGCTCGTCTCACTCTTGGCGCTCCATTTCCAGTGACCATGAGTTCAAGCATTTCCGGATTATAAACTGGCCTTTCCGGTACAATACATCCAAGAACAATTGGTCCACGTGTCGACGATTCCAATTGCATTAAACCTCCATATTCCCGAGGTAAAGGCACTGGTAGAGGGCCGGCTATTAACCTAACCTAAAAAAATCACGTAATCGAGAATTATTTACCAAATATTTTAGTAAATCCCTTTTTACATTCTCATTCTATTGATAAATTTGAAAATATTTCTCTATATTTCCAATATTTTTTTGGGAGATAAATAATTCTTACTCTAAGTGGAAGTTGTCGTGAGACAAGATGGTGGACTTTAAAGAGAACAGCATCACTGCCAGAGTCCACATTTTCGTTTTGGCAAACGGCATAAAATTCTCCTCTTGCCGATAGGGGAGCAAAAACTTCACGGCCATGTGGATCTAGACATTGAGCGTATTGGTCCTTCTCAGAACAACTACTGGAAATGGCGAACGACATCGAACTGTACTTTTTCGTATCTTGAAAAACAGCCACGAGTCGAAGAACCTCTCCCGCTCTTATCGTTGTTTTCGTATAATGAGCTCTGAGGTTTCCATTTTCTGAAAAAAGAAATTTATTATTATTGTTTCACGTTGATTAATTAAAAGAACATTTAATTTCATAAAATAAATTATTATAAGATATTTATTGTTTTTGTCATAACCGGTAAGAATTAAAAATGCATTTTTGAGTTTATTTTTAATCCAGTAAAAGTTGCGTGGGTGATTTGGACTCCGAAGTATGATGAGAAAGAGAGAGAGAGAGGAGGCATAAAGCAACCTTTCGCTTACTCACTTTCACTCTATACTCAATCCTCGTTAAATTAATTCAAAATATTTAAATTTTTTCACTTCATTTTCTGCGCAATTAAAAATTTACTAAATCACTTTGTGATAATAAATCAATTTTTTCAGATTCAACTTCAGGAGTGTTCGAATTCCTTTCTCTGTATAGTTATAACTTCGGGAGTGTTCGAATTAATCTTAAATCGCGATCGTTTTAGGGAAGTTATTAATAAACTTAATTGAGTATTTTCGAAATTTTTTATAAAATCGCAATTTGGAAACTGGAGTGGAGATCGGACATTGGCGAATGGAGTCTTCGGTGAGTTTTTCTTATAAAAGTATCTTATAAAAGTGTTTGGAAAAATTATTATTAAGGCAACACATATGAAGAAGAATGGTATATTGCCAACGTTTCGATCCCAGATCGGCTTTATTATAAAGTAAAACAAAGAAACTCAAAGTATCTACAATGTCGTAAAAGTTGGTAAAAATTATTTGGGGTTTAGCAAAAAAATAGATAGTATTTGAAATATAATTAACTTTTTGCCATGAAAATACAATTAGAGACAAATCTTGAACAATTTTATAATAATATATATTTATTGAACACCGGAGCGTGTAACGACGAGTGCGAATAGGTCAAAGATGCGGAACTGTAAAACGATAATGACCGGTTTTTGAAACGGGCGCGTTCATTCAATTTTTATCGTATATCGTGGTAGTATCTAATCAATTTGGCGGGGGATTTTCTATTCAATAGTAAACGCTTACTTGATTTTCATGGTGCAATGACTTTCGCGAGAGTTGTGTGTGTGTGTGTCTCGTTTCAATTCGGGTCAAGAACGTTTGCACACTGACATTTAAAATCCGGCAAACGCTCATTTTAGAGTTAAATATTTTTCCCATTAGCAAATTATTTTTTTTCGATATTCATATATTTTTAATTAATGAAACATACCCATTTTTGAATGTGTTAGCGTGTAGGCCCTTAATGGCGCAGTTAGGAGAAAAGCTGGAACTCCAGCTCTTACGAGAGACTCGACTCTTCGATACACCCTTGCATTGCCACTAGAATTATTTCCACTTATCACAGAAAACCATCCTGAAAAAGAAAAAAAAATCCATTTAAAATTGTCGTTAATTACATAGATTTTTTTTTTAAATTTTGTAAATGTAAAACTCGTGAATAAGAAAGTTAATTAAATTGAAATAAGAATTAGTTGGAAAAGGGTAATTAATTCACAATAGGACTTAATTGAAGATCCCGTAATCGGTCGTCGTTGTTATATACAAAAAGAGAGGCAATCACTACGGTTTAACTTCAATTTAGAAACGCGTCGTTAAATTTCTTCTGTATATTTTCTTTTATATAGCCTTTGTGTGAATATATATGTGTACATTAACTTTATGAGATACTTTCTGGCTTTATGTGTAACATAACTCGACGTTTGAACTCCTAATCAAAAAAAGTTTTAAATATATAATAAAAAAAATTCTATTTGGCAAAATTATTAGCGGGAAAATTGGAATAATTTTATTCTCACATTTTTCAATGTCATTTTTAGTTAAAAACTCTCTTAACATATATTGACGATAACATCTTGGAGGATTTATAAAGATTATGCTAATGAACCACGATGATCTTGTTCGTCGTTGCTTGCACATAAGTTACGCTTGCGTTTAATCTCTTTATCAGGAAGAAGAGCGGGAAATAGCGTATAGTACACTTGGAAATGCTAATTAATAAATGACCTTTATCCACGCGACGTTTGTTCTCCTTTTTATTGGATTTTATTATCGTTTGAACTTTTCTTGTACACACAAATATTCACATATCTATATATATATATATATATATATAGTTGGAAATTTCGCGATAAGGCCAAATAAACTCGCGAAGCGTAACACCATGGAGCAAACGACTCAATTAGCCTCCACTTCGGCTTACAAATCTCCCCATTCCGTGTGCGAGGGAAGAGGAGAAAAACTTGTTTCTATAAAATTGCCTTCTGGTTTTAATTTCGCGACGCCTGTTTTTTTTTACTTCTAATCCATTGCGAATTGTCAATTAGAAATTGTATTTTGAGGTTGTTTTCAAAGATGAGTTTTTAAGATGAAATATCGCGAAAATAGAAATTATTGTTCCGAGAAAGAATCCCTCATCCTGGCACGAAGTGTGTAATGTTCAATATATATAAAGTAAATCAGATATATAGTTACTATTGATATAAAGTAGGGATTGATTTATAGGTTGGGAAAAGGGGGGTAAGAGGATTTAAGATTGTAGGATTATAGGTTTAAGCACGTGATGCTTGTAAAGTAATTATTTGAGATGATACTGTTTTCCTCGTGTGGTTATACGTGTGTAACGCATCGTTAACTCTTCGTATATATACATATATATACGCGTATATATATAAACGTACTTCCGAACGACGTTCTTCTCGTGCAATCAAATTACCAATCGCCTCAAGAAACTTTTCCACTGGAATTCTGAGCGATATTCCTCGCCTTCCTTCTAATCTTCTAATAAGATTTAAGCATTGGGATTCGTGCATAGGTAATCCATGTCGTGTTGGCACGTAAGAGCCACCCCCCCTCCCCCTTTTCTATAAACGGTCAAACATCCGTTACGCGCGTTAACGTATTCATAGACACGCTCTTTGAGATTTAACGTTATTCAGACGGTTAACGATGGATAACATCTGCATAACTTTTCTTTAATACCATCTCGCGCGCACATGTAATCCAATGACTTGCTTTTATCCTTAATCCTTCTTCTCTTATATAGAGAGAAAACATGGTTCTCCTTCATTTTTTTTTATAATATACAAACATAATTAAACACCCGGGAAATGGAGATTAATTAAATAAAAGCCAACTGACGCGCGGCAATTAAATTTAATATTCCATACTCGGATTTATTTGTCATCCTGGAATTAGTTCCGTTAAGGACTTTTAACATTCGGGAAAGAAACCCACGAATTGCGTTAAAGAGTTCGTTTATAGCCCCCGTGAAGTTTGTTTTTTTTTCTTTGAATCAGATAAAGGATCCTTCGATGAAATCAACTGGCGCCATCGAATGCCAATTAGTATAGTAAAAAAAAATCATTAACTCCAAAAAAGACAAGTTTAGAAGAAGAGGAGACAACTTTAGAAACAAAAAATGTTTTGTTTTATATCGAGTCTATAATTTAATTTTTTAAATTTCGCAAAATTAATGCCAACTTTATTTGCGAACATTTTTTTTTCGAAGTCTATCACTATATATATATATATAGGTATATGTGTCTTTAAAAGGATTTCGAATATATCCACTTTCACTTTTGTTTATACCATCAAGACCTCCTTTTCCACATTTATAGAAGTTGCGCGTTTTTTCAGGGCGAACCCATACATCCCTTGGGAATTAATGTGTAGATATGGATAGGTTTTTTTTTTTGCTTGCTGGCTATTGGAAATCTCTCTTGAGAAGAAACTTTAAGTTGCACCATATAGCAAAAGAGAGAGAAAGAGATCGGCATCGGATATAGGCATTCCAAGTTGAACGATTGCAGCTTTTTAGAGGGTTGATTTCGAAGCAGAGAAGACGAAGAGACGCGGTCTTGACTTTGCTTTGCGGGCATTCGGACACTGGAGGCATTCTTAAATCAATTAGCAAGCCACCAAAAGAACCAGGCGACCTTCGATCATCTCTCCTCTGTTCCATTTGCTCTTCAGATGCGCGTTGAAGAGTCCTCTGACGATGTGATTCTTGAGTTAGGATCTCTCTCTCTCTCGCTTTTTTTTTTTGTTTGACAACTTAGAAAAAGTGTCTTTTCTTCCCCTCTAACTCTTTCTTGGCCTTTTGTTCATATTGACCACACGTTCAGTATTCGATAAAGTATATAAATATAAATTTATAGTAATGTAGGCTTTGAGACGTGTCCAATTATATATATACGAAAGAATATAGTATCTTCATTGAAAGATATAAACTTCGAGAGTGGTACTGTGATAATAGTCCATAATTTAATAGGTTCTCGTATAGGTGTACTATATATAAATAAATTTTTTACTCTCTTGAAATTGATAAATTTTGCCGCGAAAAAAGTAATTACTGCGTTTGTTTAATTTTGATACACAATTAACTTGTTAGTTTTTCGCAAGAGTATAAGTTTGCAGTGCAATATTGCAGTAATTTTGCTACAAAGTTGCAGTGCAAACTTGCAATAGTATTGCTAAAAGGTTGCAAGAAAATTTTTGAAAAATTTAAAGTTGGGAAGGTAAAGATAGTTTTAATATAGTTTGCCTAGTTTGCCTACTTAGAAACTAAATAGTATCCGTCCAGTTTGCCTATGTAGAAACTAGATAGTTTTAATATAGTTCAAGTATCTAGAAAGTAGATAGTTTTCTACATAGTTTGTATATTTATAAACTAGTTAGTTTCCATATAGTTCGGCTATCTAGAAAGTACTTAGCAGTAGTTAGTAGTTAGTTTTTATATAGTTTACATATCTAGAAAGTAGTTAAGTTTAATATAGTTTGCATATCTAGAAAGTAGTTTGTTTCTATATAGTTTGCCTATCTAGAAAGTAGATAGTTTTCAGAGTTTGACTATCAAGAAACTAGATATTTTCCATATAGCTTTAGTATCTAAAAACTAGATACTTTACATACAGTTGGCCTATCTAGAACCTATCTAATTTCAAAATAGTTTGCCCGTCTAATAACTAGATAGTTTCTATATAGTTTCAGTATTCAAATATTAGATAGTTTCCATAAAATTCGCCTGCATAGTACCTAGATAATTTCTATATAGTTCGTCTATCCAAAAACTATAGTTTCCATACAGTTTGTCTACCTAGTAACTAGATAGTTTTCATACAGTTTGCCTACCTAATAACTAAACAGTTTACATACAGTTTGCCTATGTAGAAACTAGCTAGTTTCCATATAGTTTGCCTATCTAGAAACAAGATAGTTTCCATACAGTTTCCATAAAGTTGGCTATGTAGAACCTAGGTTTACATATACTTCGCCTACTCAAAAAGTGTGTAGTTTCCATACATTTTTCCTATATAGAATCTTGGTAGTTACCGTATAGCTTGCCTGTCTGGAAACCAGTTAGTTTCTATATAGTTTGCGCATCTAGAAAGTAGTTAGTTTCTGTATAATTTGCATCTCTAGAAAGTAGTTAGTCTCTTCATAGTTTTCCTATCTAAAACTAGGTAGTTTCCATATAGTTTGTCTATTTATAAACTAGATAGTTTCCATATAGTTTGTCTATTTATAAACTAGATAATTTCTATATAGATTGACTATCTACAAACTTGTTGGTGTTAGCGTTATATTTCTAGCTAGTTTCGGTATAGTTTACCTATACAGTGCTATTTTTTTAAATTCCATTAATTTTAGTCCTAGTATAATAGTTTCTTATGTTTTTATTTAAATCTGCAAATTTTAAAATCGCTTTTACAGAGCTACAATAATTTTTCAAAAATATATTTCACCGTTTTCGAATTTAAAATTTTTTTTTATGTACATTTACAGTTTTGAAATGAATGTTATTATATATACACAAAACACATATAATTTCTTGATGTGCATAAAACACTATAAAAAAATAAATGTGTAACCCTTGTCGTTTAAAGTATTAAAGATAATCGTGTATGATAAAATTTTAAATCAATCGCATTATATTCTATTATATGTATATAGAAAATGATAAAACTGTATATATAATAGTATACGCGAGATATATTGCACTTTGTGTCGTATAATACAGATTTTAGAGCGTACACACACACACACACTTATATATATTTAAAAAAAAACAGTGATTTAGGAGTATAATAAATCTGATATAAAAACAACTATTGACATAAATTTTGAAAATACGCATACTATTCATAGAATGCAATAAGCGCGAACGTTTATGGTTTGTATCGTAATTCCTTTTTTTTACTGCCTTTGGTGAAATGGTTTTTGCATTATGAGGGGGAAAAAAAAGATAATTTTGGACCGGGAGATAAAAAAAAAAAAGAGAGAAAGAATTTTAATCAAAATTTCGTATAGTGACAAATATCTTAAAATAGATGGAAGAATTTTTGAAATTTTATA